AAAGAGTTTGCTTTTGTTTGTTTGGCCCTGGAGGAAATTAAAAAACCTTTCTATAATTTTGATTATAATTCAAAGTGTGGATTTTATTGTACGAAGGATGTGGTTGTATGAAGGATGGACACCTTAAGGGTCTAAAAGCTGTTTTTAAAAGCTATGAATTGAACTTCTGGTTAATCTTAGGAAACCAGGTCCTGTGGCAATTTTCTTCTCTAATGTGCTCAACATGTATGTCTGTTCTAGAAGGTGATGAGACAAAAATGGCACTCACTTACTCAAGACATCTGCTCCCTGAGCATATGTGAGGTGTATCTGCAGATTCCTGTGACTAAAATAAGTACTTACAATCAATCCTACCAGGACAAAACAGCGTAGGAGTGGGGTTTAATGCCTCTTTCTTTATTCCTGACCAGGAAAATGGTTCCCTAGAGTCTCCATTTTACACCCTGGAAATCTAGGGAAACTTGCAGGCAGCTTCAAATCTCCACTGATCTAAAATGCACTGATATCAGCATTGAAATTTCACTGGAATTTGCTGATGACACTATTCCTGAGAGTGTCTTCTCAAAATGCATGCATTGCACTGGTATAACCAGAGGGATATACATGAAATGTTTATTACCAGAAATGATATTTTACTAGTAAAGGTGAAAGAATTTTTAGAGCAAGTTTGAATTGCAGGGAACTAGAAAAACTCTAATTCTGTTTTTCTTGATTCTTGGAATACATTGTCCTGAAAGCTACTGGGAGATGAGCCAGGCGTGATCCTACAGAATTCAACAATATTAATTTTGTGAGGACTTCTGTCGTGTGCGTCAGGGTAATGATACAGATTACTCAAAAAGGGACCTAGTAGATCACGCTGCACCTTCTACACAGAAGCTTTACACAGTCCTTTACACAGAAGCTGCCTCGTGAGGGTAAGGGGTGGTGAGAGGATGGAGTGTGTCTAGTCCCTTCTTGCTGCAAGTTCAGGACCTGACCAGGGAGTACTCGCATAGACCTGGGCTTTAGGAAGCTGTGCTAGGTGAGCACAGCCTGCTTTCCGAACTCCTGCAAGTTCGAATATCCTGGAAGAAAATTAACGTTGGTAAAAAACTAAAAAAAACCCAACTTAACAAAAATTAGTAGTGATAAAAACAGCAAAAAAATTGTTCATACACATAGCCAGTTGGAGAATAAGGGATGTCAATAACTGGTTTAAACAGAGGAAGAGTAAAGCAGCATGTTTTACCCAGCAGGAGTAGGAAAACAGGTTTAGAGTGTAGGAGTTGCATAAATGTTTAATTATGATGAACAAAATATTGACTCAGCAGGCTCAGTTGTATGCTGGTAAGTTTGAGGAATTATTCTTGTATGCTTACCAAAGTGTGTTATTAAAATATTTTTTGTTTATTTAAAAGACTTAAAAAACAGATCTATGTCAGATTTTGATCCAAACCGAAATGAAAACTATTTACATATTTTTTAACTAAGTATCAGGGTTGGGGAAACAAGAAGACACACAGAAATGATAATCAGCTCTGCAACATCTTGCAAGCTTGTGGAGAAGTTGCTGCTGATGCTCTGCATCTGTTAGCATAGGCTTGCAGTTCACATTCTGAGCTGCAGATTGCGCGGCTGGTGTCACTGGGACAAAGGAAACCACTTAGCAAAAAATAGTCTAAAGCTATACGTTTCCTCCAAAGCATCTTAACATAAATGATCCTTAACTATAAAATTCTGAGATCTGAGCTTACAAAGTGATGACTGGTGGGAAGAGAGCAGCAGTGGGGCTGGTGTTTCTCTTAAGCCAGCTGAGAGTGGACTCCTTTAGAGCTACCAGTGATAGACCATGCCTAGTTTGATTTAGAGGAGTCTTGCAAAAAAGGCAGAGTTTGGGTGCTGAGAGATAGGCACGCTGTATTCCTTTAACCTCTTTTGTTGTGTGCAGTTGTGGACATTCAGAGCACAGTTCATAAACCTCTGTCAGTATTTACTGCAAACCCAAGGGCTAGCCTAGATTTATGTTCCAATCCCAGCTTTGCACCAGTCCTAATATTTGCTTGGAACTGAGAAACTTCTGTCTGTCTCTTCTCAGCCATATTTTTTAAAAGTACTTTATGTGTTTTTTTTCTTTGTTTTTCTTTCTTTTTTTTGTTTTGTAATGGTGTTTCATATAAGAGGACCTTTTCTTCCAAGAAATTTAGCTGTAGCAAAGCAGAATGGGGAGTTGGTTATAAATAGTCTCATTTATCTGAATGTAAAGAAGGAGCTGTGATTCACGATTGGCTTAGGAAGAGTTATATATTGACACCTGTGCTGTTTTGTGCACATCATTTTCTGATGAGATAGGTTTTAATTTTATGATAACTCTTGTTTATCACTGTAATGCTTTTTGTTGTTGTTTTGCAGATGGGCTTCTTCCGCAGGAGGTACAAAGAAATTATCGAGGCTGAAAAGAACAGAAAGGAGAATGAAGATAGTTGGGACTGGGTCCAGAAAAATCAGTGAACTGCCAGCATAAATCAAAAGCCCAGTCATGTGACACGTGCCTGCTCGCCTACAGGTCCTGCTCTCGTATCTTCCATATGTGGAAGAAGAAATCTTCTCCAGATTTTTCGGAGACCCCATTGATGCTGTGTCTTTATCACTCTAACAAGCTAGGGAACATATCCTGAGGCAACCACTGCAGCCATGGCAGGTGACTGGAGCATTTACACTTCATTTAAGAGCTGAACTTTGGTAACCAAGCTGCAGTGCAGAGCAATATTTATGAATCCAACTATGTGGTATACCCTCAGGGGAGGACTGTTACCTAAAAATATTTTTTATAAATATAAGCTTTTTATATTGATTATGTCTTTATATTTGTATCAATGTTTTATAGTTTCTATTGAATAGCTATATAGTTCACTCAAGCACTGATATCTGGCTAAATCCTTGGAAATACATATATGTATATATAAATCCTATAGTACTTTTAAATTTCAATGCAAGAGAAGAAAAAGATTTGCAGATAAAAGTAGCTGAAAACCTCATACACTTAATTCACAAGGCTTGGTAATGTTGTATATAGATCATTTAACGGCAAGAAACCAAAGTCTTTTCACTATTTTTTTTTTTTTGGAGTTGAATTTGGCGTTTGATTTATGATCTAAAGAACCTAACGTATTACATAGATGTGATGCTGTGTATTTGGGTCTGTCCTTCCCTGAGTTGGATGGGAGAGAAGGAGCCGCTTCCGCGGTGCCGCGTGGCGAGGCTTGCGGCCCGCTTCGCCACGGCACCTTTCTGTCCCAGGGCATTCTGCACTGAAGAAAGCATCAGAGACTGCCTGCCCTTGGGAGGGTCTCCCCTGCAGCCTCCGGTGCTCCAGGAATGCTCCAGGGCTGCAAAGGTGAGGCTCCGGAAGGGTACCGCTGGGCCAACCACTACAGCATCCACGAATGCCTTGGAGTTTAAAGAAAAAAAGAATAGAGCTATATTAATGCTTTAAGGGATAGTTTTTAAGCTACTGTTGATGGTTGTGATCTGTTGCTGTCAAAGCAAGTGACAAATGGCCACAGGCTATGACTGGCATGCCTGCCTTGTGAGTTTTATACGTGAGCCGTGGGTTGGTTTGTATTGAATAGACGTGAGGGTTAAAATGTGTTTTGGTCTTGAGATCCCGTATGTGGATGCTCCTAGTACTGAATGTCATCGTGTCTTCATCTAATACTAGAACTGGGGTTTAACTGAGGTGCAGACATTACTGAATGTCAGATTGCCACTTCATTCAGAGGTAATGCCTTAGCAAATTGTTTGCTGCCTTGGAAGAAACTGGCTTATAATTAAACTTAGCCGTGTTTTTTTCAGTAAACTCTTGGGTTTTTGACTAGAATAGTGCAATTGCTATGAAACTTGGTTTTAGATCCTTCTTCTACTTTGCACCTTGTATAAACAAGGAATAATGGTCATGGTATAAAATCCACATGAGGGAAAGAAGGATCAGGCTCAGTGATAGGCGATGGAGGAGCTGCAGGAATAAAAGGCTGTAGGATGTCTCACTAAGGGTAACGTGAAAGAGCTGCTAGAGCTTTGAATGCAGAGAAGACAGAAGAAATCTGCTTGAGTGCAGACCTTATCCCTGCTATTCCTTGCAAATTCACATTTAGCTGTGTGATTAAAAAAAAATGTCCATATCCGTGCTTGCTCTTCTCCCCCACTTCTCAAACTGGCCTTAAGTGCCCTCTGTTATTACAGCATCGAACAGTATTTATTAACTTATCTATCTGCACCCATTAGGCAGTTTAAGTGAACAAAGAGTATTGATTTAACATTGGAAAAGAAAACCTATTAGTCTATTCAATTTTCTTTCTTAAAAAAAACCACTAGTGAGTAAATAAAACATATTGGTATAGCAAATCCTCATTTAAGACTGAATCTGAAGAAAACATACTAAGAAGAAATCCCACTCTAAGCCTAAGTATTTGGCTGCAGGTTTATCTTCAAAAAGTGCAAAAAAAAAAAAAAAGGCTGATGGCCTTTTATTGCACTATTGTGTGATAAAGTATTGAATTCTTTCTAGTATGATTCATCCAAATTTAGTTAGTTTTGCTAGAAGTACTTGGGTTCAACATATCTACTTCTGCTGTTGTTGAAAAATACCTATGATTGTCCTGTAGATGTTAGAGACCAAATTAAATCATAAACAGAAATGGAATATAAGAAAATGACTAAACCATATAGTAATAAGAAAGAAGTCAGTTTATTAAGAAAAAAAAAAAGATTTTTTCAGTCACGGAACAAAAAACTGTTTAAAAAAGTAAAGGTACTTACTTTTAAAAAGGAAAAGTTAAAAGGTAAAATTTGTCCCCAAATGTATTTGAGGACAAATGAAGCTATTTGTGACTTTGAATTTGGAAAGTTTCAGCAAAAAGAGGGGAAAATACCACTTAAAATGTTAAAATGTCTCATTTCCACATTTTTAAACAAACAATAAGTTTCAAAAATGCCCCAAATGTTTCATTATTTTTGAAAACAGGTAACTTTTCATTTGAAACCTCTTTACACAGATACATAAAGCAAAGATTTTCAAAGGCTGACCTAGCTGTTCAGCATTTCATCCTAGCTTAAACAAATATTTTGACTCAAGACAAAAAAGATTTTCGTGATTTTGTTAAAGTAAAAGAAATAAATAAATGAAAGTAAATACCACTTGATTGAACTCAAGCTGGATTTTTTGACCTGAGCTCAGATTTGATATATCTCTTCTTCATCCAGCACTCAGTGAAAATCAAGTCGTCGGATTAATGACAGATTCCTGAGATAGTTTGTAAGTACTTAGTGTCATGACCGTTAGCTATTTAGTAGTTCTGTTGCCACAGATACTTTTGTTTTCATATGTGTGCTTTCTGTTCGTAATTTTCTTGTTTTTTGGAAGATTCCATTGCGTTTCTTTTGATTCTTGTTTAGTTCCAGTTAGGACAGGCAGATCACATACCAATACACAGTACTATAAATTTTCTTTCTCCTTTTGCCTCCATTAATAAATAAATAAATAAATAAAACTCACTAATGCCAGTTGTTTGCCATCAGTTTTTACTCCCAAAGTTCTTATGAAAATGTAATATACTTGGAGAATGCGTAGCAAATAGCTGTACTATGGATTGCTAGTTTTAAATAAAATCCTAACCTAATAAATAAGACTGTATCAGAGTTACTTCGGAAATGGCATCAAAATTACTTTGGAAAATGCTTATGGGCCCTGGAAATTCCTATCTGCCAGCTGTTTTTTAATTCCCTCATGCTGCATTGGTTGTGCAGTGGAGAGCTGGTAAAATTCCTTGTTTTTTGGTATGTGGCCATTATCAGTAAGAAATGTGTTTCTGAACAAATCTAGTTTTTAATTCATAAAGTTGCCATGAGGAAGCGAGCAACCTGTGTAAGGTGCAGGTTCAGTGGGCAGCCTCTGAGGCCACCTCAGAAACCCCTTGTGTGAGCTGAGAGCGCGAGTCGGCTCCGTGTGGACCCCAAAGCGCTGCCCCACCTCAGCCTGCCCTTACCCTCGAGGTGGGCAAGGCCTTCTGCGGTGCTCACCGGTTAAGACAACCCTCCTTCCCTTGACACATGAGCGGGTGGACCCCCATACAAGCCAGGGATGGGCAGGTCATGTGGATTGCTGAAAGCAACAATTGCACAAAGATTGAGTTTGAAAGTATTTAGTGTTGACTTTCTTGAATGTCTTCTGTTTGTGGGCACATTTTGGAGTCTTGCACAAGTTTCAAGCATAGTATCCATGTGACATGGGTTTATAGAACATGGCTTTCACGAAGGGGTTAATGGAATCATAGGACTAATTCCTGTCTTCATCGAGATTCATCCTCTTGCTGAGGTTTCTTGGATATAAGTGCAAGTAGGACTTGGTTCACTTAGTGTGCATTGATTAAACTGGCATGAAGTCTGTAATTGCTTTTGGAGCATGGTTTGCGTACACAGTAGGATACCCACACTGTTGTGTTTTCCTTTGAATGTCACTCCTTATGTATTGTAAAATTATATGGTTCTTCTTGCAAACTTGTGGTTGGAAGAATGTGTTCACGCTTATTGATGTCACCTGTATTTAGGAGCTCGTGTTCACCTGTATTCTAATTCACTTGCACTGTTTTGGAAATGTCAGGTTTACAAAGATACAACTTTTTTGAATAAAAAGTGGCTGCAAAATTATCCTACTAATATCGTTTTGTCACTTACTGTCCTTGTCGAACTCAAATGTTTTTCTGGTTTGGGGATGAGACATTTTTTCATTTATGTTTGAATTAAATGGTATGTGCGTGTATTTATCTCCATGTCGGTAATAGATGTTTTTTTATCAAAATTCTGTGACATATAAAACTAGGATATTTGCAGACTGAAAATATAACTAATTTCACTACAGTATTGCCAAATATGGAAATAATTGCAGTGGAAATTATTTCTATTCCACAATATTACACTATCACACCAATAAAACCCCATGTGGTGGTGATATTCTCATACAGTAAGACTGCCAACCTGCATAACTTATTTGAGCTCTGTATCAGTCTGATAGGAATTTCGATGAAAGTGGGGTTTTTTTCAGATTTGTGTGTTTTTTTTCTAGAAGAGTTTGTATTTAATGGGTAGCTAAATAATACATCTGCAATATTTTCTTCCATACCTCCCCACACCTAGCTTGTCAAAGTAAGCAGGAACTGATGCAAAGCAGTAAAAAAGCTGATATATTTCTACGGTTGTTACCTCTCTCTTTGTACTGCCAATACCAGCGAGAGGTTCCATGGAAGTTTTCTGATCATTCTGAGGATGGGTGAAATATGAACAGACACAAACCTTCATTTTAAAACAAGACTACAAAATGAAACCTGGAATTTCAGCCTCTCTCGTTCTCTATGTCTCACTTAGTTGCCCACTTTTTGTGGAGACCCTCTGTGCAAGGGTATCGAGGTTCTCCAGTTACGCAGGACTCTCCTGTTTCATCCGTGTTAAGCTGCCAGCTTGATACCCAGGAGCAGAGTGGACAGAGTTAAGATGTAAGCTGTGACTCAAAGCTCGTTTTTATTTTGCTGGTGAAAGAGAACAGCTTCGTGTCCCGCAAGGCTGAAGGCATTACGAGTGCTCCAAGCAGCTCTGGGTCAGGGCACGGAGCTAGCGCCCTTCCAAGTGAAAACAAATGTTCTCAAACGGGAAAGCTTTCCACCGGGGAAGGAAAACATTGCTGGGGACCGGGGGTGGAAGGATGCTCTGCAGAAAGGAATGTGGTGCAGGGTTTGCTTTGGAAGGCGGGTGGCAGCTTTAGGGAGGCAGCAGCTAAAATAATAACCAGAAGCGTTTGGATGTACTCATGCCTTGTTGTTACCGTGTGCTTGTTTGTAAAGCCAAGTGATGGATTTCCCTCCGTGGGGAGGGGAATTGAAGGGGTATTACTGCTCTCTGTGGGGCTGGATCTCTCTTGCTTTTTAATGAGCAGAGAATGGCAATCTAAAAGTGCTTTATTTTCTGTGCTGCTTGTGGTCGTGGTGACTTTTAAGAGCCACTTTGGAGTTTTATGACAAAACGGCTGGAGTTGGGTCTGACACTTAACCTGAACATGCCAGCCCCTGGCCTGCTTTTAGGA